GGGATTTTTTTGAATTTAACGGGATTCAACGGGAGTTTAATTCCCCCGTTCTGCGTTAAAAAGATACACAGGGGGAGTGTTTTTTTTTTTTTTTTTTTTTAGGGGGCGGGGTTGAGTGCGAAGGTGCCTAGGGCCATGTGTTCCGGACCCCGCGCATCAATTCCGTTTTTCCGAAAAGCGTGCGAGCGACCCGTTTTCTCATTTAACAAAAATTCAACGGTTTTTTTTCAGATTCAACGGGATTCAACGGGAGTTTAATTCCCCCGTTCCCTGTTAAAAAGACACACAATCTTCGACTACGACCCAATAGGCCGAAGTTAGAAAAAAAAAAAGAAAAAAAAAGGGAACCCTCTCAGGCCACAATATGTCTGATTAGAAATGAATAAGCTAGGTTCCAAAGACAGGTTACTCCCATAGCCCGCCCGTCCACCATGAAGCGGCATTTTGTCCGAGTCACAGGAAGAAGGGAGAGTGGTGGCGAAAGTTGTTGCTCGATCATTCTTCTAGTGAGTAGTAGTGACTTCCGCATGAAGTACTCAATAGCCAATGCCCCAGCAAGAGGTTGTATTTTCTCAAGCGAGTTGCCGCAAGCCAACGGTCGGTGGAGGAATGTGGAGTTAACCCAATGGAGGCTGAAGTGTGTTGGACAACGGACTAGAATGGTGCCCAAAGTGTGATGGTTATTATACGATTGGAGTGTGTGTGGAGCGAGATCATCAAGGAGCTATTTGTCAGCATCATCACAATGTTGACCATCATTATCAACAGGGAGGTTATCATCAGGGAGGTCATCATTAGGGGAGCTGCTCTTCATCAAGGAGGTCATCATTAGGGGAGCTGCTCTTCATCAAGGAGGTCATCATTAGTGGAGCTGCTCTTCATCAGGCTGTTTCCTTGTTCTATTGTTTGTTTCGTCTCTTGCAGGTTATAGTCATCTCAGTATTGTTGTCGGCCGGTTATTATCATCATCAGCACTTTTGTTCCCTACGATGCTGATTGTCATCATCTTCGTCATGCTGCCGTGCGCTCATAGCACAATGGCAAAAAAAAAAATAAAAAAAAATCTTCATTGCGCTGCTGTCATCATCGCGCTCCCCTGAGGCGTCGTAAATTCAATTATTCCGCACGACGCTTCTCACCATCGTCACGTTGATTGTTGACATCATCAGGGCGTGGTGGATCTTCCTCATCACCGCATTGCTTCTTCTCATTAACCCATTCTTAAGTCTCTTCATCCTAGGGCACTTCTCGCCGTCATCGTCTCAGTGCGTTTTCTTTCCTTTTTTCTAACTCTCCTTGCAAGATGGTAAGATGGGGGAGAGTGAGGGTATATTTTGGGGATTGTACTAATTTGGGACTGGGATTATATCCCAGCGGGGGCAGATTGGAGCAAAGGGTTAATCGAGGCATACTTTTGGGGGAGCTGTATGCCTTGTAGGGAGAATTGGAGGAGTGGGCCTGACCCTAGTTAGGGCTGATGAGGACTGCTCTTGATCAGGGCACTTCTGTTCAGAGGAGGCAGCAAAGTGTCGGCATGAAAAGTAGGAGGGTGGGGGGAGGGATAAAAAAATTCTATTCTCATCAGCTTCATCATAATCATCAATCTCTCAATTCTTATTTCCCTGTTCTTTTCTGTACTTGAGGTCGTAAAAATCCTCCCCACGAGGTTGCTGACGTGGAGGGCAGGATGGATTGAGTGGAGAGAGCTCTTTCCTACAGGAGAAACACAAGGTGGGAAGTGTTTGCCTATAGGGAATAAGGGCGGACAAGGGGGACTGTCTAACTCTGGGGCTAGGAGAGATGGAAGGCGGAAGATCATGTACTAGTGGTGGCAGAGG